TACAGAATGTTACGTTTACACACACCAGCACATAATGCATATACAGCCTAATACTCACTACTCTTAAGTACTTTGGTCATGTTTTATTTTAATGGTCCGTTTGTTGAATTTAAGTTACATTGCAACTATTTATCATTAGATTATAAGTAGACTGTTAGGTTTAGGTTAGGTTGGAGTTAGGGTAAGTTGAAATGTACCTGCAAAGTTTCTTATAGTCAGATATCTGTTTAGCAGCAGTATCAACAGATTAAGCAGACAGTCTACTGATACTTAAATGGACCATAAAAATAAAATGTTACCCTACTTTTAAAGTGGGTACTTTTTTTTTCAAGATTTTTTTGGCCTTTTTGCCTTTATTAGATAGGACAGTATTGAGACAGGAAGCGAAGTGGGAGAGAGAGAGAGGGGGTAGGGTAGGGAAATGTCGTCGAGCTGGGATTCAAACTCACGACACCCTGACATGCTATTGCACCATATGTCGGCACTACATTTTTGGGCAAGTAATGGTTCTTTTACTTGTGTATAATTTTTCAGTATTCTTTCCACCACTGTTGCTATGTGACAAAATCGACCCTCCATAAGCTACAGAATCTCATTTCACAACGTCCCATTTGCTCTTTAAAGAATAGAAGCGTTTTTAGACTAAAACTGTTGGCATAGATTGTAATTGCCCAGTGTGTGCAGTATATGAAATTCTTTACAGAATATATAGTTTCAGTCTTTACAATATTTTTACATGAATGAGGGTGCTCCTAAAAATCATCCAACTTCCCCATATTCCCAATAAAATGATCATGTTCTAAGAATATGCTTAGCTCAGCACCAAGAAACACACTTGATATTCGTTCTTGTGTTTGAACAGTTGTAAAAACACAGCCGTCCTTCTTACGGTAACGCGATATGATTGCTGTTATGGATAGTAAATCCACTGAAGTAGACAGTTTCTGTAATGTCAGGTGGATTAACTTTTCAGACACAAACGTTTAGACTACATGACAGGGTGGGAGCAAGTACCTCTGGCATTTGCATGGGACCACCTGCCTGTTTCTTCCTTTCATCCCTCGGCATGTTTTCACACATTCAAACCCATTCCTACAGCTTTAATATTTCCTTTCAAATACAATAACAGTTTTTTTTTCCTTTAAAAGAAGGCGTTTTGGCATTTCTAAAAGCCTAATAGTGCATTCCTGTCAGTATTTATCTGATTTTGTTACCCACACATGGAAGGGAATTAAAGACCAAAGCAAGTTCTCCTTCTCTGCATGCAAAACATGAAAATTGCACACTTCAACGGTTTTTGGCACCACAGACAGATTAAGGACTGTGGTTAGATTGCACATTCTTATGTAACAGTAACAGGGGGTAGAGCTAGACTAAAATAAATGGAGTGTGACAAAGGTGTATATTGTTACTGTAGAATATATCAGTTTTGCAGATCTTTTATGAGTTGTGCTGAGAATTTACTGTATATGGTAGGCCAGGGTATGTATCCACCAGGTTTGGATCTAATCTTGAGCTTGGCCCTCCTCCCGAAGTAGTCAGCCCACCCTGAGAGTGCTATGGTCCCATAAAAAATAAAATTAAAAAAAGATGAACTAGATCGGAGGTCTGTTTCACAGCTTCATGTCTTGGAAGGTGCAAAATCTGCAATGGCAGAACATCAGAGATGAAAAAAAACAAATCTTCGGTGCATTACTATACACATAATAGAACATTTAGTAGAATGGTTCACCACAAAACGCTCTGTGAATTTATACTAATCCTCTTGATTTTTATTTTTTTTATGTCGATTGCAAAATTATATTTAGCTATATAAAGCTGCTCATAACCAAAGTGAAAGGAGACCACAAATATTGTCAGTAGACCAGAATAATTAGATTTTTCTGTGTGTTCTGACATATGATAGTTTTATGTATTGTAACAAACAAACAAACAAACAACATAGAAGCTGTTAGAAATATGCAAGCTGCAAAATATGTTTCCACATTGAACATGTTGCACTTCTATTTGTGACAATAGTCACATAGCAAGAAATGCAATGCTTAGTCAGGATTATATATGATCAGAAGCGACAGTTCACAGTACAAGAGATTTGTGGAGTGACTGCACACTCTTAGAAATAAAGGTACACGGGATGTCACTGGGGTGGTACCTTTTCAAAAGGTACAAATTTGTATCTAAAAGGTCCATAATAATACCTCAAGGGTACATACTGGTACCTAAAAAGTACAAAAATGTTCCTTTTAAAATTTGTTGGTAGTAATATTTACTTTTGAGGTACCAATATGGAACCTTCAAGTACAAAGTTGTACTTTTTAAAAAGGTACCACCACAGTGACAGCCCATGTATAGATTTGTGGGTGCAAATGCCTTGTTGGTGCCAGAGGTAAGAGGAGAATGGCCAGACTAGTTCAAGCTGATAGAAAGACAACTTAAATAACCACTCGTTACAACCGAGGTATGCAGAAGAGCATCTCCAACCTGAGAAAACGTAAGTATTTTATGTTTTGTCAGTTTAGTGGCAATTTAGTATGAGCTCAATCGATTTTAAAAGGAGGCGTGGCACCCAACCCAACCCCACCCCTAAACCAACCGTCATTGGGTGATGAGCAAATCATTCAAAATTGTATGAATTAGATCATACGAATTCATACAAATTAGCTATTAAATCAAAAAGTTACGAATTGCCATGAGATTGCGTTGACATCTCTGAACGCACAACACATTAAAACGTGAGGCGAATGGGCTACAGCAGCAGAAGACCACACCGGGCTCCACTCCTGTCAGCTAAGAACAGGAAACTGAGGCTACAATTTGCACAAGCTCAACAAAATTGGACAATAAAAGATTGAAAATACGTTGCCTGGTCTGATGAGTCTTGATTTCTGCTGGGACATTCAGATGGTAGGGTCAGAATTTGGCGTCAACTACATGAAAGCATGGATCCATCCTGTCGTATCAACGATTCAGGCTGGTGGTGGTGGTGTAATGATGTGGGGGACATATTCTTGGCACACTTAAAGCCTATTGGTATTAATTGAGCATCATGTCAATGCCACAGACTGCCGGATTATTGTTGCTGAGTGTACCCATCTTCTGATGCTACCTCCAGCAGGATAACACGCCCTATTATAAAGTGTGAATCATCTCAGACTGATTTCTTGAATGAGTTCACTGTACTCAAATGGCCTCCACAGTCACTAGATCTCAATCCAATAGAGCACTTTTGGGATGGAGAGATGTAGTGGAATGTGAGATTCACATCATAGATGTGCTGCCGACAAATCTGTGTCATACTATCATGTCATTATGGACTAAAATCTCTGAGGAAAAGGGGGTCCAACCTGGGAGTAGAAAAATGTACATAATAAAGTGGGCTGTGTATTTTTGTTCTTTTTTTGTTCTTTTTTCTCTATTGATTTTATTTATGCATATAATATGCTTATTATATTTTATGCAGATTCGCTACCCTACAAAATGATCCCAATCATTCTTACCGAATGAAGTTGTTCCAAATAGAGCTATTCCACCTGGAATTCTTAGCACTATAATGTATATCATAAAAAAAAAATATATATATATATATAAAAATATTGTCTTAAAAATAACTTAACAAAAAAGACTAAATTACCAAATGAATCTGAGTAAAATCTACAATTTTATATGAGGGCGTCATGGTGGCGCAGTGAGTTGCACGATCGCCCAACAGCAAGAAGGTCGCTGGTTCGAGCCTTGGCTGCATCAGCTGGCATTTTCTTTGTATGTTCTTCCCGTGTTCGCATGGGTTTCCTCCAGGCAATCCGGTTTCCCCTACAGTCCAAATACATGTGGTACAGGTAAATTGGGTAGGCTAAATTGTCCGTAGTGTATGTGTGTGAATGAGTGTGTATGTTTCCCAGTGATGGGTTGCAGCTAGAAGGCATCCGCTGCGTAAAACATATGCTGGATAAGTTGGTGGTTCAATCTGCTGTGGTGACTCTAGATTAATAAAGTAATTAGCCGAAATTAAAATGAATTAATTATATATATATATATATATATATATATATATATATATATATATATATATATATATATATATATATATATATATATATATCTGTAAATTTGATATAAATCTATATAAATAATGTAACACTGATGTGTTAGCAATCAAAGCCAGCAAACAGCAACTCTTTGTAAATCTCCTTTACACAATATTTTTTTAAATCCTTATTTTATCGAATGAACAGAAGCATATATAATTAGAAAATTATTATTATTAACAATAATTATATAAAACATATAACTCACATACGAGTGTCACATTTAGCATGCAGGAACAACACAAAAACAAAACAAGTATAAAAAAAACACACATCGTCATGAACAGCCACATGGACACGGTGTATCCTACAGTGCTTTTAACTTGCATATCATGTATGGAATTCATAATTAATTGTACAATTTTCCATTCCATTCAAATATAAAATGTGTAAAACGTGTTTGCACATTAACAATTTCCTCTCAATGGTAAAAGCTATAATAGATGAATAAGCAAAAGACAATACTGTATGAAGTTGGCAAGAACTAGGTGTTAAGAATGTCCAGAAAGAACATCCCGACCCTGGAAAAAAAAACCTGAGATGCATTCCTTCTCTCCCCATATACAACTTTCAGACTAGCGTTTCAATGCCACCTAGTGTTCAGTTCACATATTAACCCCTCACTGTTACGTTACATAGTGAGTCTTTTTGCATAGGTTGTGGTAAAAAGCAAGTTTTTCATTGTATTTAATGCTGTCTGATAAATCAAAACTGGCCATAATTTAACTACGCATGGAAGGTAGCATCTCCTTTTTGAACCAGTATTCTAAATATATTTGTAATTACTTGTTACATGTAATATATGCTGCCATTTTTCCAAAATTAAGAGGTTTATTTTATTTTGATAACTTACCTGTTAGATGTTATCCAGCATATTGTTTGGCAGCTTATATAAATTAAAATGTGCACATCAAATACTGATTTGAGGGATCATTTTATTTTAAATATAGGGAATACAGAAAACATGTTATAATGTACCATTCATCCAACAATTGCAATGCAAAACTACCGAAGAACAGTATAATAAATTAATAAATACATACATCATTATTAAATTGCAAATTTGGTCACAATTTAGTTTTTGTAAACTTTCTTTTTGTAAACAGCCTTCAAAATGTACAAACCTCAGCAAAATCTCAATAATAATAAAATGGCCTTGAGAATCCACCATAAATAAATGCTGATGATCCATAATAATTTTGTAAGATCAGCCAAATGGTTATGAAGAGTAGTGTTTTTCTTCAAATTAATAGATTATAATACTACTCTATTTGGAAACTATGACAAGTAGCTTTTCAGCAAATACAACATCACATCAAGTACAATTTGGAAAAATAAATTAAGCATTTGTTCTCAATCCAGTTATACTGAATGTGTTATTAATATATTCTAGTTGATTCAAATGGGTTTAATGCAGTGATTTACTGACTTTTTGAATCCAAGAAATCTTTTTATCCTTCCTATTTACTCTGTTTCCTACGTTTAGTTGTTATAATAGTTAAAAATCTCTCAATAATTTAATTATTTCATGTTTTACATCTTTGACAACTCAACTTGTTTATTAATTGGTATACCTTTAAAATACTTTAATTCAGTAACATTTTTTGTTGATTTAAATCCCACTACCATGTCCAATAACAAGAATACATGTACAGTAAACGTACTGCCTAAATGTTCATACTGTATATTATTGTTTTTAAAATATAATCGCATATATGTTCCAATTGAAACCAGCGTTAAGCACCTCAACCAAGTCAAGTTACAGTAGATTTTTCCAACAAACAGTGCTTTTTTTATCTTGCATGGATTTCAGTAGTTTTTTTCATCCAGAAACTGAAATCTGTTCTTCAGCACTTCAAGAAGTTTCATCTTTGCAGTTTCCCAATTTTCCTCCCAGTCTAGAAATCAAACAATCATATTTTATTTAAGTGCAATGTTTAAATATTTAATATTTAATATCCTATACAAACACTGTCAACGTAAGCAGCAGTACACACTTTACAGTTGAGGACCTGAACTAGTTTACTGGTTAGAAAAATTGTTTTCAATGGTTATTAGGTCCTACTTTATATTAAGTGTCGCTTATACCTGTGAACTTACATGGTAACAAGATGTGTAGGTAGTATGAAACTACTGTGTATGTACACACTGGTACATAGTATTTACTTGTGTAATACTGGTGTAAATACACACGTAACAACACACCAGAGTATGTGCAAGTTCAAATGTGTAACACTAAAAAAGTACACATCTGTAACAAAAATTACATAAGTGTATTGTGTAACTACAACATGGGCAAGTGTTTTTCCAACTTCCACACATGTTTGCATACCATGCACTTCTGAACACTGTATTAGAATAAGAATGGCAGAACTAACACTGCATTAGAAGGTTTCACCTTGTGATGCCAGTGTAATTACAGGGTCAATCCTCAGGAGCTGTCCACTCAATATAAAGTGTAAAAAGGTCACAAATTACTGTGTAATATATAAAACCTACAAGTGTTTAAAAAAAGCAAATCTCTGGCAAAAAAAAAAAAAAAAAAGTATAAAGGTATATAGAAATATACAAATGCCTTATGTTTATATGTAGTTTTAGGGTAAATTTTAGAATCACATCAGTAATTCGCATTAAAGGTGTAGTTTATCAAAGATTGTGTTATTAATGTCCTGTTTCACATTTCAACATACACATACTATTGTGTTGTTACATGTGTGTAGTTACACCAGTATTCCACAAGTAAATACTATGTATCAGTGTTTAAATACGCTGTAAATACAAACTACTTACACATCTAGTTACCATGTAAGTTCACAGGTATAAGCGACAATTTAAGTGGGACAGGTTTTTAATATTAATCAAATATAATTTAATTTTAGGGGTTCAATAAGATTTTATACTTTATAATCAGCAGATGCACATTAAATTGATCAAAGGTGACAGTTATTACAGTACATTTGTAATGTTAAAATAAGAATGACTTCTGTTCTGTTGAACTTTGTTTATGAATCTTGAACAAAACATGGTTGAAGTCTTTCCATGATGATCATCTTTTCAACAACAACAACAACAACAACAACAACAACAATAATAATAATAACCATGATAATAGTGATGATGATGACAATAATAATATTTTTGAGTAGCAAATAAGCATGTTACAATAATTTCTGAAGGATCATCTGATGCTGAAAATGCAGCTTTGAAATCACAGGAAGGAATTACATTTCACAACGCTATTACTGTTTTGACGTTTTATGATCCAATAAATACAACCTTGTAGAGCAAAGAGTAAATATATAAACCTCCTAAGGAAACACATGAAATAAAGTATAAAGAAAATATGTATATAGCAAAAAAATTAAGTTTAAAGAATATAAAATATAAAGTATATACACTATATACAGGGCTGGATTAACATAAGGGCTAGGTTGGGCTGAAGCCCAGGGCCCATAAAAAAGAGGCCCTTGATTAGCTAAGGAATTAATTTGAGGGATGACATGGAAAACAACTATTTGTGTTATGCTTTCGCATGCCGATAATATGAAGAGTTCCTTTCAGCTCACTAATGTTAAAAAACAGTGGCTAAATTATGGCTAGGAGTGGTTGTAGCCCAAACTGTATTTCAAATAGCTCTGTTTTAGTCTCCAGTAAGGGTGACCAGGCATCTGTTTTTTTTTTTTTTTTTTCCCAGCAAAGTCCCTTATTTCCCAGGACAGTTCTTTATTTCAGCCCAAACGCGATAACGGTCCAGTCAAATGTAGGCTAACCAAGTGCATTATAAAACAAAAAAAAAATCAAACAATATCTGTTGATAACGTGCAGTAAGAAAAGCTAGGAAATGCAAAATCCTGCTGTTTGATGGACTCGTATCTGAACCGATGTCCCGGTCGCGCTCTCTTGTGCAAACAAATAAAAAAGTCTACACAACAAGTTTTGGGAAAAGTTAGTTTAGAAAGTAATGCATTACATTATTAAGTTGCTCCACAAAAAAGTAACTAGTCGCGTTACTTAGAGTAGTTACTTTTTATAGTAGGTAATGCGTTACATTACTTTTGAGTTACTTTAGCATAAATTTTTCTGACCTGACTGAGGCTTGATTTCTTTAAGAACTTGCAGGGGAGGTGTTTACTTTTTTTTTAACAACACACTGTATAACCTTCACTTACCTTTAAATAACATAAAAATATTTTTGTAGGATAATGTTATCTTCAGAGAACTTCCCGATCCCAGAGTTTTACATGCCGTATATACAGATTAATGAAAGTTTAAAGCAATGCGTTTGTTGGATTGGTACTTTTTGTCTTATTAAAAAGTAAAATCACAGTCCATTCAGATAATCCTCTTTTTCTTTTCTTCAGTGTGCTCAAAATAAAGAGAGAATATTTCAATTGCAGAAATGTAAGGCTCTGCTGTCTACATTTCTAACTGTTCCTGCAACCTCTAATTGTGTGGGATTTAACATGACTACGATTATTTTAACAAAGGTAACAATAAAAGGTACACAAAGGTAATAATAAAATTAAAAAAAAAAAATATATATATATATATATATATATATATATGTATATATATCTTTAAAAGCCATTCTTCTATTTTATTATTACCTTTGTGAGGCAATAAAATAAATAGGGCCCTTAGATTTGCAATAACCACAGGGCTCAATATGTTCTTAATCCAGTCCTGACCATATAAAGTATATTGTAATGCTTCATTTTTGTGTTCACACAAGACATTTTGTGAGAACACTTTTTTTTTCGGAGGATGGTAATAAATATGTATTTTTTTGAGAAAAGTACCTTATTAGTAATTAAATATTTATATACAATGAAATTGTATTAAATATTCATTGTTTTGGAAGTGTCCGTGACATGTAAGAATGCTTACCTGGACTGCAGCTGGTTATTTGAACAGAGAAAGTAGCCTTTGCTCCAGTCACTTCTGTGTCCTCAAACACTGGTTTTGGCGGGCTATTCTTTGTGAACCACACATCCAATTGGTTTTTCAAATTTGCGTTGTTTGCATCTGCATAAATTACAGAACAGAATTGAAATCACTGAATTAAAATAAAAAAATAAGCTTTAAAAAAGACAAACTTGTTGAAATTCTATTGCTCTGACCTGTTTCTATCCCTAGCAGTCCCAGTATTCGTGCACTGAGATGATTTCGAGCTGCTTTCTTCGTACTTTGGCATGTGCACTTCATTGTATAGTCACAGAAAGACAGCTGGACACAGGCCTTGTTCATAACAACCAGGGAAACAATAGGATCTTTCTGACTGGCTCCCTTTAGGATAGAGCTCAACTGATTCAGAACCTCTTCAGGATGATCAGCTCCAGGTAGGGAAGGATAATTAAAAAGTGGTGATAGAAAACGTAAGGCTTTCTGGAGAGCAAGCAACTTGGCTTCATCCTCTGAGGACCCTAAAAAGAACCATGTCATGTTTAATGTGGTTAATGCGTTAAGGTTATATATTTGTGGCACACTTACAGAGTATATGCCTGCTATGCAATAAAGATGTGCTTTTTTTTTTTTTGCAAACAAAATAAATTAGATTTATTAAAATTTTAATCGGCTAAAATGCATCCTTTTGCAATACTTACTAAACCAATGTCAGATTTCTGTTCCATAGACATTTATTTAGATGTTTTGCTGTTTTCTTCAGTCCTTGTGTTTTTTTCCAATTTCTTTTTGCTTTTAAATTGCCTTAATTTCATTAAGGTTCTGTCTTTGTTTCTATGGTCACTGGTTATGTATTTTTAGGTAAAACACCTATTTTTTGTTTTACCTCTTATTTCCAATGGCATTTAACACCGGATCTACCAGAATTCTATAATTATTAGACCAGCCATGGTCATTCACATAAGACTCATTTATTCATTCATTTTCTTTTGAGGTTAATCTCTTTATTAATCAGGGATTACCACAGCGAAATGAACCACCAACTTATCCAAAATATGTCTTACGCAGTGGATGCCCTTCCAGCGGCAACCCAACACAGGGAAACACCCATACACTCTTGCATTCATACACATACACTATGGCCAATTTAGCTTATTCAATTCACTTGTACCACATGTTGTTGGACTGTGGGGGGAACCAGAGCACCCAGAGGAAACTCACGCGAACATATGGAGAACATGCAAACTCCACACAGAAATGCCAACTGACCCAGCCGGGGCTCGAACCAGTGACTTGTTGGAGTGAAAGCGAATGGCTGTCCATTGGATGGTATTGCTGTTGTGATGGCAAGCAGCTGCTTTGTTTTTTATTTATTTATTTAAAAAGTGCATTAAAGCTGAGAAACAACCAGAAAGACGACAATAAAATACTTTCTATCACAATCATCAGCACTTTTAATAGTTTATTTTATAGACTTATAATGTGCTGTTGTTCTCTTGGATTTTTCATTCCAAAATGGCCACCACACCATCTAGTGGCTGTTTCCCATATTGCACTAGAGTGTCGCCTCTTGGTGATTCTATCCTCTTTGCCGCTGTCTGGCTTTTAATGGTCCTCTTAGATCTGAAACTCAGGATCCTTCAATGAATGCCTCTGATAAGGGTCAATTTGGTAATAGTGGTGTTGAGACTTGTACACATCAACTTCTAATGTAGTTCACACTGCACAATTTTAGCCCCAATTTCCACTTACAAACTCACATAGTGTGTATTGTGTAGCAATCTGATCCCGATAACTGTATATATTTCACAGGGTGAATATCTGGATCTGTCTACAACTCTGTGTGCTTCAATTTTAAATGTATGTGATGACCTAAAGCTATAGTGATATGGTCCGTTTTTCTTTTTCCACTGCAGTACACAAAAATTGAATCGCAAGCTTCTAGTGAGTATTTTTCAAAAAATTTAAAAATTAACACACTGAATCCAGAGCTATGGTTTCTTATGTGATCATATTTTCTATACTATTACTGTTTGAAACATAGTTGAATGATAGACCAGATTCTTCTTGAAATGCACTGCACTATGTTACCTCAGACAGTTATGAAACAAAAAAGGACAAAGATCCACCAACTCTGAAAAGTGTTGAGAGTATTCCTAACAGTGGGTTTTGTACTGCATCACAACAAGTCAAGAAAAACAAGCAGAAACTACTCTAAATGCAGCACTTTATGTTTGTTATATAATTAAAGAGCTGGATTTAGATCCATTACTCATAATTTTTTCCTAAATCGTTATGTATTCCAAACTTTTAAATAAGTACCAGTTATTGTGACATCAGACAAAAATACTAACCTTCTCCGTCATAGTCAACTGTGTAATTTATGTTCTTTAGTGAACAGTAAAACAACTTTGAAGAACCTTCAACATCTTCCTGGGGGAGAGGAAGAGAATTCTGAGAAAAACGCATCTTCACCATAGCAATCGATGTCTTTTCATCTTGAATTCAAGGCAAAGAAATAAGCATTAGTTGAAGGGTCATTCATAAAAATACATTTCATTAAATAGTTAAATGGCTCAAAAATGAAATTGAGATTATTTATTGCTCACCCTCCTTCATGTCAACACCTTAGACCCTTGTTCATTTTCAGAATACAAATAAAGATATATTGGATAACATCTCCCTGATCTCTCTCTCTCTGTAGACCATCAAAAACATCTTTATAACAGATCATATGCCTTCAGTGGTTCAGTCAGATTATAAACAAGCTACAATAATTCTTTGGTTTGAACCACTGTAGACACATGGACTGTTCAGAGGCATTTTTGTATCTCTCTGGACTATGGAGGATCAGCATGCTCTCAAATTTCATCTTAATTTGTGTTCTGAAGATGAACATGGGTCCCAGGGGGTTGAAACAACATAAGGGTGAGATGTAATCATTGATGTAACTGTAATCTTTTGGGTAAAATATTCCTTTCAGGAACAGCTAGCTATAAGCAAATTTAAATAGACAAATATACCTGTATTATTCAGAATTGATACTGCACAGCCAAACAACAGGTAGGTTTTTCGAATGGCTTCTTTCTTCGTGTCATAACCTTGCTTGTTAGCACAGGTAAATTCTTCCAAATTGATTTTCACAGTACATTTAAAACCCTGATCACACTTCACGTTCTCCACCTCGACATGTGGCATCAGGTTGTATACACGAAGCAGCTCGTTTATTTCTGTAAAATACATAAACACATACAAGTATATGAGTACACTGCAAAAAAATAAAGCAAATCATTTTTTATTTTTATGTTACTGTGCCCATTTACAAAAAGAACATTGTCTTTACCTGGACAATCAATCCTGGGCTTTTTCCTCATTGAGGCTACAGAACTGTCTAGAGAAACATTAACTGACTCTTGGCATATTGGGAGCTGCACTGATGTGGAGATGCTTTCAAACTCAACATTTTCCATCACTGATGATTGACTGATAGATACTAAGAAATCATTTAAAAAGTTATTTTCCAAATTTCAGTGACAAAGTAGATTGTTAATATTGGTAATTTCCTAGCTGTACGTACAGTTTGAAAGTATTGGGGTCATGCCGCCAGTCCCAGGCTCTTCCCTGATTTCACCTTTATGCTCTTTAGTATCGTAGATGGGATTACTGTGACCCAGTGACTCTAGAAACTCCTTCAAAACACCTTTGAAGTTCTGCTTATCGTCTGATACAGGAGCACAGTTGAAGATCCCCGATAGACGATCAAGAGCAACACTAGCTGCCTGTTGCTCTGCCTGTTTCTTCTTGGTGGAACCATCTAAACATTGGAAGAAATATTAGCTTATATTAGGTCTTTGGGTCTGCAAATAGTAATTTAACAAAAAGTGAAAAGTTTACATTATATATATATATATATATATATATATATATATATAAATATATATATATATATATATATATATATATATATATATATATATATATATACACACATACATACACACACCGGTCACTTTATTAGGTACACCTTACTAGTACTACTTCTTTGGACCCCATTTTGCCTTCAGAACTGCCTTTGTGGCATAGATTCATCAAGGTACTGGAAATATATCGCAGAGATTTTAGTCTTGGTTGATATTATAGCATCACGCAGTTGCTGCAGATTTGTTGGTTACACATCCATGTTGCAAATCTCCCATTCCACTACATCCCAAAAGTGCTCTATTGGATTGGGATCTAACGACTGTGGAGAGCAAGAAACCATCAATCTGAGATGATTTGCACTTTATGATATTGTGCATTATCCAGCTGGAAGTAGCCATCAGAAGATGGGTACACTGCTGTCATGAAGGGATAGACATGGTCAGCTATAATAGTAAGGTAGGCTGTGGCATTGACATGATGCTCAGTTGGTACTAATGGGCCCAAAGTGTGAAAAGAAAATATACCCTACACCATTACACCACCACCAGCAGCCTGAACTGTTGATACAAAGCAGGACGGATCCATGCTTTCATGTTGTTGATGCCAAATTCTGACCCTACCATCCGAATGTCGTTGCAGAAATCAAGACTCATCAAACCTGGCAAAGTTTGTGTGTGTGAGCCTGTGCGAACTGTAGCCTGTTTCCTGTTCTTAGACAGGAGTGGCAACTGGTGTGGTCTTCTGCTGATTTAGTCCATTCGTTTCAAGGTTTAGTCAGAGATGCTCTTCTGTATACTTTGGTTGTAACGCGTGGTTATTTGAGTAACTGTTGCCTTTTTATCCACTGGAACCAGTCTGGCCATTCTCCTGACCACTGGCATTAACAAGGCATTTGCGTCTACAGAACTGCCACTCACTGTGTATTTTCTCTTTTTCGAACCATTCTCTGTAAACCCTAGAGATGGTAAGGTGTAACAATCCCAGTGGATCAGCAGTTTCTGAAATACTCACACTAGCCGGTCTGGCACCAACAACAATCCAAGTTCAAAGTCATTTAAATCACCTTTTGTGTCCATTCTGATGCTCAGTTTGAACTGCAGTAGATCATCTTAACCATGTCTGCATGCCTAAATGCATTGAGTTGCAGCCATGCGATTGGCTGATTAGACATTTGCGTTACCGAGAAGATGAACAGGTGTACCTAATAAAGTGGCCAGTAAATGTATGCAGTATGTATGTATGTATATATATATATATATATATATATATATATATATATACACACACACACACACACACACACACACACACACAGATGTGAAAAAGTGTTTGGCCATTACTGATTTCTTTTTACGTTTGTCACACTACAGTATAATGTTTCAGCTCATCAAACTGATTTTAATATTATACAAAAATAACACAAGTGAACCACCCTGCAGTTTCAAAATTATGGTTCTTATTAAGGGAAAAACTAAATCTAAAACTACACAGCCCTGTGTGAAAAAGTGGTTGCCTTCTAAACCTAAAAAAAATGATTGGGCCAACCTTAGCAACAACAACTGCAGTGAAGCAAAAAGTGTGTTATAGTGCTGTGGAGGAATCTTTTAATTGTTGTAAATTCAGCCACATTAAAGGGTTGAGCATGATCTGCCTTTTTAAGGTCATGCCACAGCATTTCAATTGGATTCAGGTCAGAACTTTGACTAGGCCACCACCATTCCAAAGTCTTAATTTTGTTTTTCTTCAGCCATTTAGAAGTGGACTTGCTGGTGTGCTTTGGATCATTGTCCTGCAGCAAAATACAAGTTTGCTTTAACTTGAGGCCAGTAACAGAAGGCTGGACCATCTCCTTTAGGATATTTTGGTAGACACAGGTTTCATCATCACAGCAAGTCTTCCAGGTCTTGAAGCAGCAACACAGCGATGCAGCAACCAGGACCAGCTTTGTAACATTTCACAAAAATTGCTAAAAACAGTAAGTCATTATCAGAGAAAGAGTTTGTAAAAAGAGTGCTTGGTGGTCTCTGCAGCAATAATATGTCCTGAAAAAATAAGCATTTGAGCAATTCCGGAACGGTTGTCAAAATTTAACAGGGAAAAATGTCAGGCTGTTAAAAATCTATGTAAGATAAAGTGACTTAAATCAACCCAGACCAGAAAGTGGTATTTTTGCATTGTATTTTACACCAGCATGTATTGTGCAAGTCAGTGCTTAAAGAGCCATGAAACCCCCACTTTCGGTTTAAGTCTACCTCAGAATTTTTTCAAAAGATGCATCATAATGGGCGTTGAGCAAAGGGCAGGAGTGGGCGTGGTCAGCAGAAAAGGGGAGAAGGTGAGAAGCGAACAACTGTTGTCAGTTAGCTCACAAAATGAAACACAAACCGTGAGAAGATACATGATTTTATAGTTTACAAAGTTAAAATCCAAAGAAATAAACAGTAATTTAATGCCCTGCTACATTTGTCATTTGTAATTAAATTTACACACAACCACAATTTATACCAATCAAACACAATAAATGAGGACTTTTCCCTCAATCCCTGAGTCTGAATGCAGACTCAGCGTAGCAGGTCTCTTGCCCTGTCTATTTTAAACATTAGCCCTGCTGGTAATCTAGAGCATTTAGACAAACAAAGCAGCACGGCGATGTGTCTAAATGTAAGCAAACTCCTGATAAAAGACGATGTCCGCCATTCTCCAATTTTCGTACCGCTCTCCCGACAAAAATGCTTGCTGCACACTAACAGCTTTGCTGTGTCGACCATGACAGCATCACAGGGAAAAACATGGAACAAATCCTGTATATCATAGAAACAAACACATACGACCCTTCATGAACAGCTAAATACTGTGTGCCATGGGTCTGTGGACGCTGTCTCACCCAGTCATCAACGTAGGATCTCACAGCTAGACACTGACAGGTATGCCTTGCCTTGCCTTGCCTTGCCTTTGGAAAGCATGTGCAGTCATGAATAATTAAGAAGCAGCTCTTCTCAATAGGATAAGAAAACTCAGCTATAAATAATAATGAGAGACCGTCATGTCATCTTTGCACTTGCAGTTTTGCGCTACGTTGCCGATTTTGATCTTTCCCCAAAAATCATTTTAAATCCGGAAACTGAAATTAGCTGACAAAAGCTTAAAATTATCACATTTTTCCCACAATTAAAGCTGACAGGTGCTAACATTGTCTTGTCTATCTTGTCTCTAAAAATTAATGTAACTAAAATAGTAAACTTTATCAGGACACAAGAATTAAAATACAGGTAGTTTGTTGCACTTTTAGAGGAGCATGAGACTAAACATCCATGTAATACACGACCTGGTGAAGGCTTTAATGACTAAGTTAGTTTATTTTGAGGCACTTGGAGGCAAGCACACCCTGAACAAAATCACACCATCAGATGATAACCTCTGCAGGTACATATCTATGTTAGGAGCACTGCAATGGTGAGTTTTCAAGGTGATCTGCAAGGTCTCAGAACAATGAAGATTGAAATGCACTTGAATTCCTCTCCATTTACCTGCAACATGGATAATGCACTTAGTGAAGCCCTCATCAATGAGTGATTCACCTGCTTTCCTTTGCTCTCGCAAAAAACAGTTTTTGTCAGTCGTGCTGCTTCTCGATTCTAGGATCACATTTGTACACTTATAGACAAATGGTGATAAACTAGCAGTCTAATCTGTAGTGAAGACAAGCCAGCACTGGCAATTTAAAAATGAGTTTCAGCCAGCCAAAGTGGCTAGGGGGAGTGGCTGTCTAACTGCCACAACCGAAATCTACCCACATTTGTTAATGTAAAGCCCTGATTATGATACAACATTTGAATGTTATTTAGCAAAGTCGAAATTGTACAGTAATTTTATTTTAAATAAGATTGCAAATATTTATTTTTCATTTGAAACAGTTTAATTTGTGTATCTTCAAATTAATAGAAATGAATAAAGTTGTTTCTTTTCTTTTTTTTTTCCTTGTTTAGAATATAACTGAACCTTTAATTGTCATTTATAACATAAGATTTAAAATGAGATTTAAAAAGCATAAATAGTCCTCACTTTATATTTGGTCGCAAAACTGGATGAAGTTGATTTAAAGAGCCCATATTATGGGTTTTTGAAAATTACCCTCCATGTAGTGTGTAACACAGCTCTAAGTGAAGTGAAGTATCCAGCTAAGGCTTAAATCTGTAAGAATACAGTGTTTAAAACGGTTGATTCATCTATAAAAGAGTCGACTCATAGTGCTTCAAACGAGTCGCCTTGATACCGATTCATTAGGTGTTTCGCCATGACGTACGAACGAAACCAAGTTATTCACGTGCACGCGCAAACCCGGGAGATTTCAAACCTGAGGCCCCGCCCTCTGACGCAGAAACCCAGACACACACGCACACACACACACACAAACATGCCGGTCGATTGAAGTCACACTGCAGATGGATATATTGAGTCTCTACCCAAAGATGAAACCTTAGCATTATAGCCAAGCAGTTGGAAACTACTGGAAACTTCTGGAAGCTACATGCTACAAAGAATACTTCATCAGCGTTTGTCAAAGGAAGGATCAGTAAAGAGTAACTTACTGCTGGACGTCAGGATGGATTTTTCTTCCTCCATTTCTCAAGTGTAAGTACGTACGATTAAAGTTGCCTTGTTTACTCTAGCTTGCAAATGTATTTAGTTGTGATTTGTTACTTGTAACCGCGTGTACTGTATCAGGTTAACTGGCTATATTCTCTTATCGCGTGCAAAGTCACGTTACAAACGCGACGCGTGCTGCTTTGTTAACGGAGCTCCGTGGACGAGGAGAAGTGTGTGTGTCTGTGTGTGCGTGTGCGCGCTCTGTCGTCCGGAGGTGTGTGTGTTTGTGTGTGTGTGTGTGCGCGCGCGTTGTCGTCCGGAGCAGGGTTAAGTGCGTGTGTGTGTGTGTGCAATATGTGTGTGTGTGTCTGTGAAAAGAGCAGAGTGAGAAGCTAGGAGATCTCCTCAACTGTTTTTGGAGTTTTTGCTCAATAAAATAGTTAGTCGTCTGAATTTTCAAGTCCATAGTCTGTATTTACATTGACCCACTGGCAGCTAAAATCCACGCCTTCACTATCGAGCGTGTATGAACTGTGATTACTTTTATATTGCTGATTAGCTGTTTGGCATTTCACTCTCTGACTAAAAGGCAGTCGACCAATCGCAACAGGCTGTCATTGGTCCAATCAGCGCAGATTAGCTTCGCGCTAAGGAGGGGTTTGGGAACAAATGAATCACTGGACGATTCATACAGGAGTCGCTGGGATAATTAGGTAAAAATAAATGCAGATTATAAGACCATGAAAGTGTTTTTTTGACCTTGCATACATATTAAACTGTTGTTGGAGACCCTTACAACCAAGATATGACCCTATTTCATGTATAATATGGGCTCTTTAATAACATACAAATTAACTATTAGTATACACCTAAATAAGAATTATAAATATTAAATTGAATAGTTTATTAATCATTTACTAACTTATTCTGCATGATCTTAAAAACACCAACTATTCTAGCTGGTTTGTAAATAATGCAAAACTTAATTTATGAATGAAAAATGAGAAGCGCTCTCACTCAGCAGCGCAGTGGAGATTTCTCTAGTTATATTGTTTCAGTCGTTTGATATGCAGTGACATGCAGTCAAGTATTTCACCAAACAGTCCTTAGGGATGCAGTGACACGCAGTCAGATGTTTCGCCAACCAGATCCGCCACTTTTGGCGCTCATAAACAATCATAAAGCCCTCGTGCTGCAGGAATGAGGAAGTCTGCTGAAGGCGTGCAGCTGTCGTGCAGTGAGGAGTTTGCGTCTATTAAACTATGTCAGTTTGCGTTCACTGAACAGTAAGAATGATTAATAAATCCATATAAAACAGTCCCTTAAAGTCACGTCTCGCTTTCAGTTTCAGCTTTGGCGAATTTTGCACTCACACTACAAACGTACTGCGCCAAAACCCAAGTGAACTGCGCTCAGGGCCACCTCCTCCAACCGGGCCAGGGCCGGCTAAGTGAACCGTGCCTGAGCCCGATTCAGCACACTCACACTTCTCAAACGATCCGGGAAATGAGCCTGAGCACGGTTCGGATAGGATAGTGTGAGTAGGCAATAAGATAACTTCTCTTGTTCAATGCTTAAATATTACATTACCAGACTTGCCAACTTATCAAAACTATACACTATGCACTGATTTATATAAAGAAACACAAGTTATGCAGGCTTTAGTTCAGCTTTCCGGTCCAGTCCTCCATAATATTTTCTTGTTTTCATGTGGCCACATGTGAAAAATATTTTTTGAGGATCTTTTTGTCTACTTCACTTTGTCCTACAGGTCCTATTTAATTGATTTATTCATTTTTAACTGGTGTGGCAGTAATCAGGCCAAAGAAATTGAACTCAGGCGTGATAAGCCAGAGTTACGTTTTAACAGGGGGGCAAACAGTTTTTCGCAAAGGGCTATGTAGTTTTGGATTTTTTTCTTTTATTAATAAAACCTTTATTTAAAAACTGCATGATGTGCTTACTGCTGTTATATTTCCCTAATATTAAAATGTAAATTTAAACTTTAAAAATGTAATGTGTTTTTTTTTTTTTTTTACATATTTAGATGTTTGTACAATATATACATATACATATACATATAACAAACAAACAAATAAAACTTTAGTACTTTTATGTAACTATTTAACATCATTCAGAAAGCGTTTAAATAACGATTAAAAAGAAATGAACTTACCTTTGTCGTAAAAAATAAAAGGGCTAAATTTCAGAATGCAGATTGTTGTGTTGTTGTCATCATCATCAAACTCTTCTATTGGTTGTTGTACTTCATATTTGCCAAAATGATCAATGATCACTGATCTGTATGTCTGGCCTGTTTGGTACAAGGATTAAAGCTAGATTATACTGTTCTGAACTTACACTTTTGCATTTGTGGCTCACAAAAAAAACACCAAACCAACCACAACAACAACAACAGTAGCACACTCAGAATACAGTGCATCAGGCAAGTATTAATAGTGCTTCATTTTTTCTACATTTTTTATGTTACAGCCTTATTCCAAAATTGATTAAATTAATTTATTTCCTCAAAATTCTACACACAATACCCCATAATGACAATGTGAAAAAAAAAAAAGATTTTTTGAAATTGTTGCAAATTTATTAGAAATAAAAAAAACTGAAGAATCACATGTATATAAGTATTCACAGCCTTTGCCGCGAAGCTCTAAATTGAGCCTAGGTACATTCTGTTTTCACTGATCATTCTTGAGATGTTTCAGCAGCAGTGAATTGGAGTTCACCTGTGGTAAATTCGGCTGACTGGACATGATTTGAAAAAGCATAGACCTGTCTATATAAGGCCCTAGGGTTAACAGTCCATGTCAAAGCACAAATCAAGCATGAAGACAGAGGAATTGTCCGTAAACCTCCGAGACAGGATTGTCTCGGAGCACAAGGCTGTGGAAGGTTACAGAAAAATTTCTGCTGCTCTGAAAGTTCCAATGAGCACAGTATCCTCCATCATCCATAACTGGAAGATGTTTGGAACCACCAGGGGCCTCATGTACAAAGACTTGCGTGGAAATCATACTAAAACATAGAAAAAAATTCAGATGTATGAAACTCTGCGTACTGCCGAATCCCACGCATATTCTTTGTATATCCGAATGAACGTGAAACTGAGCGGAACATGCACGAGCGCAAAACCCCTCCCTGCCTCCTCCCCCGTATGAATATGCTAATAACTCTACTTTGACAAAACCCAACGAATAAGCAATGACAAAAGCAGGCAAAAACAGAAACTTTGAACCGAATGAGAATTGGAGGTGCTGCTTTCGGAGGTAGACCGGAGAAAAACGGTGGTATTTGCAAGTTTGTTCTCCGGAATTAATAACAAAAGAAAAAAATGAACTCATTATCATATATTATCAGACCTAAAGAAGCAAAATTCTCTGGTCTGATGAGACTAAAATTTAACACTTTGGAGTGAATGCCAGGCGTCATATTTGGAGAAAATCAGGTATCGCTCATCACCAGACTAATACCATCTCTACAGTGAAGCATGGTGGTGGTGGTGGCAGCATCATGCTGTAGGGATGTTTTTCAGCAGCAGAAACTGGAATACTAGTCAGGATAGAGTGAAAGATGAATGCAGCAACGTACAGAGACATCATGAATAAAAGCCTGCTTTAGTGCTCTTGACCTCAGTTCTTAAAAATGAAAATGAAAATGGCTGTACACCGTCACTTCCCATCCAACCTTGAGAGGTACTGCAAAAATTCCCAATTCTCAAATTCTGGCTTCACATTCAAGACTTGAGGCTGCAATTGCTGCCAAATGTGCAACAAAGTATTGAGCAAAGGCTGTAAATACTTATGTACATGTTTTGTTTATTTTTTTAGGTTTTTCATTTTTAATAAATATGTAGAATAAAATGTGGAAAAAGTGAAGTGCTATGAATGCTTTTCAGATGCACTGTATGTTACTAAACATTACTCTATTTTCTTTGTTCTTTATCCAGTGTACAAATAAAAAGCTTTGCTTTTTATTGCTTTAATATCTAACTTAAACTTTGTACTTTACCTTCTGCTGGGGCATTGATGCAAAAGCTTTCCATTAAGTTCTTATAAGCTGCCTCAGCTGCTTCTTCCTTTGAAGAACATCTCTCAGACATAACGTCTTTGAGATTTACAGTCACTTTACCAAAGAAAGTTTTTGCTGAAAAGTAAAAAAATCTTTGTTTTATACATATTTCCTTTTACATTGTTCAGTGCCAAGTTGTGAAAAACATAATCTTTATATATTCTTTATATTATATTATATATTTGTGTGATCTCAACATTAAGAAACAGTGGATAAACTTTATTTTTATTTAAAGGGGTGGTCCAGAATGTAATTTTAAGGCTTGATTGTGTTAAGATGCAAAGCAATGTGTGCTCATATTTCACTTGAAGGAAATCACGTTATTTTTTCATATATCTCACTTTGATTATACACAGCTACTCAGCTAACATGAAAACGACTGTCATATTTCCTAGTTCCTCTGAAAGGCCCGCCCTTAAGTGACTCTATTGGTCATCGTCATAATGTGCTGCGATTCGCGGATCGGCTCCAAGTCACGCCCGTACAGCATGCGCTTTTCTGCTGTGTAAACCTCAGTCAACCTCCTGTCAGCACACTAAAATAAAATCTGACAAGTGTCTGTAACGAGTGAAAATGGGTTGCGGCTCCTTTAAGAGACCTCTTCTTTGTGTGTGCCTATGTGTGTGTGTGTGTGTGTGTGTGTGTGTGTGTGTGTGTGTGTGTGTGTGTGTGTGTGTGTGTGTGTGTGTGTATGTGAGAATGTGTGAACTTTGTGTAACAAGCACATGTGCACAGGAGTTTTTTATTTATTTTTATTTTATTTTTTGTAGTCACCAAAATTCATTAATTGTAGGCTTTGCTAAGCTAACTCTGTAAAAACCAAGGTCTCCCTTTGCATTAAACTTAGAACTTTTTACATTCAGAGTTGTTTATGTTTACACAGCTACATTACACATCAACTAAAGTTTAAAATATGATATCATAGCGGACCACCCCTTTAAAAAAAAGTAAAGGCCTTTCCTTCATGAACAAATATGCCCCATAATGAGTGGATTTCCTGATGGATCTCATATCTGTAAGATGAATTTCTCGATGTACCCTATTTTTTTTTCCTGCAGTTCTTAAAGTGCATTTAATTCCAACGTGCAAACAGCAGCTGAATTACTACAGCGAGAGTTCATACAGAACTGAAAATGTACTCATTTGTTGACCTGATTTCAGAAGTGGTTTGTTTTTTTTCTGTTAAATACAAAATAAGATATTACGTAGAATGTTGAAAACCAGAAGCCACTGACTTCCATACTAGCAAAAAACAACAACAACAATAACAACAACTATGGTAGTCAGTGGCTACCAATTTATAATATTTTTCATAATGTCTTTCTTTTGTGGTTAACAATGTTTACATTTGTAACAAGTGAAGGCTGAACTATCAAATTTTTGGGTGAACTCTCCCTTTAAATGCCACTATATTCTCTGCCAATAAGATCAGGTCTGACTGGGTCCATTTGGAAAAAGCAAAGTGTGTGTGTTGTGTGGTTTTTAGAATACAAATGGACCCGTAAAGACCTCTACACCAGTGGTCCCCAACCCCCGGGCTGATCAATTGCAGGGCTGATAGTGGAAAAAATTCCTGAGCCTGAACTTTTTTTCCTTGCCCCTGAGGTGAGTAGGGGTGGGGGTACTATGTATGCAACGCACTTTTAACACATAACTTGTGGGCCCCTGGGCCCAAATATATTAACAGCCTATGTGTAAGCCTGGTCATCATAATTGTCAAGTGGCTCTTTTTAGACACATGCCAGTAATGTCAGTGACACATGCCAGTAATGTCAGTGACACATGCCAGTGTCAGTGATGTTGTGACATGTGCCAGTAGGTGTCAGTATAAGCACGTTATAAGCACATTAATCTTATAAGTCTCTTTGCTTTAATATTTAAAAATCATTAGGCAAATGACACCTGTTATCTTACATGCATATATGTTATGAGTTTTCAACATGCATTTTATTATAACTGTTTAAAGGATATTATTTAAAATACCTTAAAATGAAAATAAGTTAAATAATAAAATAAATGAATTAATTAAAAACATAGAGAAGTCCATATTGTAGGGAACAAAGGAACTGCCAGGATGCAATAATATAAAGTACAACAGATAAGTGTAACCCCTCCCATACATAAGCATGCCACAATAAATTTGGCTGACATGTACTGTCAAATGACTATATTACGTACGGAAGTATGACTACGAATACATAAAATAAATGCGTTTAAATTAAAACATCGTGGAGTAGCTCAGCAAATAAACTAACTTGCGACGCGATAAATTAGGTTAAAAGTCGCGTAATGATTAAATATGGTTTTGCTCGTGTTAATTATTGTCATAAGCTTCGCCGGTTGTCGATGTCACTGCAGTGACATGCAGCGCGACACTCTGAGTGACACAGGTCACTACACATGCCACTAGCGAGTGACACATGACAGTGGAAAACCGGACGTGCCACCGGAATGTGCCAGTGTCATCTGTACGTCAGATGTCGTGTCACTCCATGTTAAAACTGCTACTGTGAATCCGCGTTCAAGCGCACACAATAAGCTAAAACTCGCCCCAAGCACCGGCAAAAACAAATAACAATGAATGTGTCGAGGAAAGAGTAAGGACATATCTTAATTATTTATTAATAAACTTATTCTGAGTCAGTGTCGCAAAGATCCTGACTGGCAATCTCCTCTTGGACTCGCCTTTAGAAATTCATCTTTACGGATTACATGAAGGAGTTTTCTTGTTTTCGATTTGTTTTATTTCGTTAAGTAATAATTTAAAGCTTTCTATAAATATATTTATTATGTCTGGGAGGCATATACATTTTGCTTCATTTTGTTAAGCGCTCCTGTTCAAAAACCAGACGACAGAAAGCGCATAATTTTGGTTTTCTTTATTTTATAAAAACGCTGTAACGTTTTTTGATGTATTACTCGTACTTTGTGAGCAAAAATGACGGATAACTTTAAATTGCTCCCACTGAAAAAATGCAGGTGATTGCTCTGGCGCCTCGATGTCCTGCAAGCTTTTTATAAGCAAACTATGCGCCTAATAGCACACATTCTTTAACGTTTAAGCTACCATTGTTTTTTACTTGAACTGTTTTATATCTTTTATTTTAGGCAAGTCGTGATGATCTGAGAAGGCAAACTGATCAAACAGACAATGATGGTCTTCCGCTGGGCGCTGTTCGTGAAAAAAAATCTTAATTTTAACGAATAAAAAATGCTCCAAACGTTTTTCTAAATAAGCCGAATAAAAAACGAAACTAAATATAAACACTTTGCCATTAGGCTGCATACAAAACTGAACTATTTCATAGCTGAAACACTAAGTTGTTTAAGGAGAAGGGGGAAATATATTTTTGTCCCGTCTATTGCTTCACCGTTATTTCGAGAATAAACCCAGCGTAAATATGCAGATGTCATTCCCAAAACATATCAGCGTATATGTGCCGAAAACGAAAGTTTCATACAAATTATGAATGGATTATAGCCTGGAAAGTGCAAAGCACGCTCCTCTTATTATCACTAAAAAGCGTCATCTTAGTTCATAGAGATCTCACAAAGATCCGTTATAATTTATAAAGCTCTCTAAATTACACAATTAATCTTTTATTTACATGGCGTCTACACTCAAAAGATGATTTACGAGCACACAAAATGGCACTTAATAAAAACCAATCCGGCGCTTTCAGCAGTGAGTGAATTCTGTGAATCTAGAGAAATGACAGATCAATATCCGTGAACCTGATTTTTTTTCCCCCGCAGCTAGGCTTGCCACGATAGACGGTGTTGACGGTGATACCGGTGTTAAGACGCAACACCGGTGACATCACTTTTCTACCGTGACACCATCCCCACATTTGTTTTTTTAAGTATTCGTTTTTTTATTTTTTTTATTAAACATTTATTTAAAATAAATGGAAAATATAATTATAAATAATTGACTTAAAACGAGAGCATGCTCTATAATTAAAATCTAAACATAGCTACAGTGCGTCATATTTCATTTACCACGTGAGGAGAAAAGAGGAGTCAAATTTACAGAAAGAGGATGGCGGACGATTTATTGTCAAAACGCAATGCAAAGGCGCATATTGGCAAAATTTTGGGTTCAAACCAAATGCATAAGAGAACCTGACGACGTTAATGAGGCGATCTGCAAACTTTGCCTGACAAAGGTGGCAGTATCTGGAAACATAACTAATTTATACACGCACCTTCATGTTTAATTATGGGTGGGTCGCGGATAGATCCATAAATACGCAACGCATACTCTCATTAAAAAAAAAATTCACGCGACCATCATCTCACAATGTTTAATAATAAATATCTTTTTTTTTATTAAAACGAGTGATTTAGCAATGCTGCGCCATTGACAATCCAACTGCAGAGAAACATCGTGGCAACGTGAGGACTTTTTCCGAAGTTCAGCTGTTCTTATTTCCACTTGATTATGTGTTTAATGTCAAAAAAATCCATAATGTCTAGGCCAAAAAGATCGAATCCTGTGTATGCGCGCATCTTTTATAACTGAGGCCGCTCTCTTCAAAAACCGAAAGTTGCTTCTTCTGTCTGACAATATTTCGGCTTTTAATATATGAAAAGTTTATTTAGATGAGCCAATATTAAAAATTGCAATAAAGTGACTGAGACGTGCGGCCACACATCGAATCTGAGGACTGATTTCTCTCTCTCTCTCTCTCTCTCTCTCTCTCTCTCTCTCTCTCTCTCTCTCTCTCTCTCTCTCATTCAGACATCGAGCCACAACACAAGTCAAGTTGCAAAACTTAGGCAGGTGCAGCTGACAGGTAGAATAGCTGAAGCCTTTACGAAATCTGTCAAAATGCACCTCTGAAATTAATAGGCATAAATGTCTTTGAGCCAAAAAAAAGTCTATTGGTAGGATATCTGTAAAAACGCAATTGGAGCCAAAGATATGAGCTGTGTAGCCTATAAATTATAGGCCTATTATTTCGAATAAAATGAAAACTAAAATTAACAATTCATTGCATTTTTCGTTTGATAAAAATATACGTAAACGAAAAAAAATCAAAGGGTGGCTAATTTGTATTAATGTGTTTTAATTTTAATGAAAATATGCTCAGCATATTTAATTAACGGCTATACGCCGTCAATAGACAAGCCATTCTAAACATTATTTTACCGTGTACTGGGTTATAATGTATATTTTACAATAAAAACTAAACGTAGCATGTCTCGCTGTCATTTAAAACGTGTAATTCATACCACACCAGAGCTGTGGACCTGTAGTGTTTAAACTTACAGGGCGGTTGGTCAATAGTCTTAATGCGCACTGAACTCCAATCCGAGGGACTCGATAGTTACTCGATAGACAACATTAACTTGAGAGAATTAAAAAATAAAAGGTTTTTTTTTTTTAAAGGAACAACGTGCAAATCTGCAACAAATAAAATAAAAATAAAACGTCTTGGCAGTGCTGTGTGTATTCCGCCACTGATTTATACTTCTGCGTCAGGTGACCGGCGTAACCCACGGCGCAGGCAACGCGCGTGGCTGTGCATTTATACTTCTGCGCGCTGTCTCTGCCGGTCTGCATTAACACTTCCGAAACGCTAGTTGGCAGAAAAGTGTAAATGTTCCTCTGTGTCAAGTTTCTTCGCTACTTTTTTGCATTTCCTGAACACTTCCGGGATGTACAAGTGGCTCAAACTCGCTCATTTTGAGGCAGGAACCGGCGGACGTGCAACAACTTTAACTATGAGGTAAACACAAAACAAAACTTTCCATCCGGAGCTCCTTCACGGGACTCCACACTTGTAAACAATCGCTCGCGCGGCGTCGCGCCATTCGCGCGCCTCTCGGTCCCGCCCAGACTCGTCAGCGCTACCAAGCCGACCAATCACAGAGCTTATGCTACGCGTCGTTGCGACGTGTAGTTACATTTTTTGAGAGGTGCACGTCAGTGACGGCGATGGCCACGGCGAAGGGCTATGCGTCAGCGCCGTAGCATACGCCGGTGTTTGACGCAGAAGTATAAATCAGGCGCCCTTAAGCCTGGTTTATACTTCTGCGTCAAGTGACCGGCGCAACTCACGGCGCAGGCAACGCGCGTGGCTGGGCATTTATACTTCTGCGCGCTGTCTCCGTTGGTCTGCATTAACACTTCCGAAACGCTAGTGGGCAGTGAGGTGTAAATGTTCCTCTGTGTCGAGTTTCTTCGCTTCTGTTTTGCTATTCTGAACACTTCCTGGATGTACAAGTGACTCAAACTCGCTCATTTTGAGGCAGGAACCAGCGGACGTGCAACAACTTTAACCATGAGGTAAACAAAGAACAAAACTTTCCATCCGGAGCTCCTTCACGGGACTCCACACTTGTAAACAATCGCTCGCGCCATTCGCGCGGCTCTCGGTCCCGCCCAGACTCGTCGGCGCTAGCAAGCCGACCAATCACAGAGCTTGCGCTACGCGTTGTTGCGACGTGTAGTTACAATTTTTGAGAGGTGCACGTCAGTGACGGCGACGGCCACGGCGATGGGCTATGCGTCAGCGCCGTAGCATACGCCGGTGTTTGACGCAGAAGTATAAATCAGCCTTTATGCTGCGCCTGTAACTGCCGCTTGTAAGAGAGATCAAAGCTGTATCGATAAAACCAAAAAGCAAGATCATTTAGTTATAAATATTCCATAACAATACTTATCGAAATATTTATACATTTACATGTTGTTTATTGAGATTGTGTGATCTGTATAGGTTGTCTGATCTTTCAAGAAGCTGTAAACTGACACATGTGCGGTGATGTTTAGCTCTGACGAGGCGCTTTTATTTAGCCTGCCCTTTGATTTTTTACATAATGTTCCAATTCTTAATTTTTTTTCATATAGTTTAAATATAAAATGAGTGCTCGCTTGTTTAGTTGTGATCATTATGCAAGGATCATATTTCATATTCGGTTTATTCTTCAATAGCCTAAATTCGTTAATAATGTATTTTATAAATGGGTTGTTCATAAGGACTAAGCTGTTAATATATAACATAGGCGTTTATGGTTGTTATTTGTATGGTTCCAACTTACACAGTTTTTTCAGCCTGTAGCAGTGTTGTGTTTTATTCGTTATGTAAATAAAAGTTATGTTTTGTTTAATAACAGGGATTTTTTTTGTAGTTTCCTTTCCGTCCATTCAAACAACTGACACCGAATTGGCAACTCCCGCAAAACTGAAAGTGAAAGTATTATACGCACGCATTTATAAGCTATTTAAAAGCAGAAAAAGAGAGGAAATGAAAAAATGCCCACTCCCACGGTGATACCGGTGTTGTCACATGTCGATTAACCGGTGGGGAAATTTCCTCACCGTCGCAACCCTACCCGCAGCCACAGGACGCCGGAAATCCGGCGTGGTGCCGGAACGCTATCACCCCTGCAATTGGTACTGGGCCACACAAGAAATCAATAATTATTTAAGTTTTTTTTTTTATTATCTGAATTTGAACAATATTTTATTTTGAAAAATCTTTTATTTTGAAAAATATCTATTTTTCCTCAGTTACATTTCGGCCACTTGAGCGCCAAAAAACAGACATCTTTTAAAAGTTTCTTTGCGAAGAGGAAAAGGCCCAGTGAAGGACCCATGGACTGCTAAGGAATGGATCTGAAACCCATTTGTCAACAAATCAGGTGAATTCACTATGTCTGTGCAACAAGGTCAACTGCTTGAGATCGCAAATGATGATCGGACAGTTAACATAGATAGAGATCATTCACACATCGCGTCTTTTCCACCTGTTTGTTATTTCTAACGGAGGTGCGTGGCATGCGCATACGCATATTTCATGTGGTAGCCATTTAAAAAAATGAGAAGGTGGGAAGAAACCCAGATGTATAGGATCAGCACTGTAATATTGCAACAACATGCTGTGTGCTACAAATCTTAGCCGCGATTTCAAACTGCAGATATGGTGTGAACATCACTTTAAAAGCATTAACTTAAGTTTAATTTAAACAATTAAAAGCATATTAGGCATCAAACAAAATCATAATCTCTTTAAGAGTAATAAGCTTAAGTGTCCTCCTAGGCCAGGGGTGGCCAACCCTGTTCCTGGAGAGCCACCTTCCTGCAGATTTCAGTTGCTACCCATATCAAACACACCTGAACCAATTAATTAGGACCTGAAAACCACGTGATGATTATAGACAGGTGTGTTTGATATGGGTTGGAACTGAAATCTGCAGGATCCAGGAACAGGGTTGGCCACTCCTGTCCTAGGCCTTAGTTCATGGCACCAGGTAAACACCGTGGGGATGCTTCCCTGCTTCAGCCTATGTAACCTGATGAGCAATAAAACAATGCAGTCCCCTTTAGCACACCCTCGTGTTGTCTGTAATAGGGTTGTCCTGGTACAGAAATTTTAAAAACGTCTATTTCCTGCTAACATTTATGCCCTGTTGATCACGTTCCTAAACCCTGCAGATTTGCCACAGAATTTACCAGTGCTCAACAGAAATGACTTTGAATCATTTTATTAACCTAAATTTGATAAATGGCATCTAAAACGTGTGTTTGGGAAAGGAAAGGTTAACCAACTAGTGCCCTTTCTCAATTCAATATTCCTTTTTAGCTTCACTATCCATTCAGAACGGACCTTCGGGTCACTCAAAGTAAGAAATTATACATTTGTGTCACTTTCTCTTCGCTGATAAGATATACAGTAAGGTACACAGACGCCGTTCCTGTGTGACTCCAGGCAAACTTCCAGGTTTCTTCCCACCACAGCCTTGCTTTCGCTTTTAAAACAGTGGCCATGTGAAATCAGTATATTAGGAGTGACGTACACAAGTGGTGCGATGCTTGTGAAAACAACTTCAGAATGCTTCGAGCACAACGTGAAAAGAACTGACCAATCAGCTTAATATTTTGTAAGGAACATACACATTTCGGTGGACTATCTGGCAAACCCTGCAGTGCTTTTTTTTATTTTCTCCATAATTAAAATTTGCATAAGAGTTGCAGCATCCTCAGAGAAAATGGTTGATGGTCGCCTAGCAAGCTACGTTCACACTTCCCCTCCCCCCATCCCATGTAGCGGTAAAATTGTCAAGCATTGACCGGTTGATAATAAAAACTGCTCTACACTATGACCAATCCGTTCTGTTTAAAAAAAAAAATGTAAAACAATACAAACATCTCCAAACTGGGTGTGCAGTTTGCGGAGTTGTGTGGGATGCTAGATGAAAGTATAAAGAAGGCTTTACCTAGACAATCAATCCTGGGCTTTTTCCTTACTACAGCTGGAGAACTGGAGTCTTGAGGGTCTGGCAGCATAGGAACAGGAATACAAGCTGCCTCTTGAAATACCGGAAGCTGTGCTGATTTGCAAATGTTGCCAGACTTGAGCTCTGAATGCTCTTTCTCTGCTGCCTGAGTAATAGATGCTGCAGAATTTGTCAGGTCTGGGCTGATGCTCATGGCCACCTGTTTTTCACTAATCTCTGGATTATTCACAGTGGTATAGTTGGGACTTTTGAGACCCCTTGTCTCAAGACACTCCTTCAGAATTCCTTTGAAGTTCTTTTCCGTTTCTGATATTGGAGCACAGTTGAAAATACCTGACAGATGCTGCAAGGCAACTTTAGCTGCCTGTTGATCTGCCAGTTTCTTCTTGGTGGAGCCATCTAAAATAATCCAAGAAATGAAAACAAAAGATCAGCAAACAATAGATTGTAAATCCACACAAAGCTGAAGGAAAAGAAAAATGTGTGATGTAGGGTTGGGCGATGTCAACCAATTTGGCATCGTACGATGTCTAATGTGAAACATCAAGATGGATGATGGTATCGTCATCATGTGAAAGACAGGGGGAATGGGGGGGTGTGACGTGTCTAAACAGCAAGGAGGGATTCAGGGGTGAGAAGGATCCTTATTTGAGGACCGGGAGGGAGACGCACGATTTCTGGGAGATTATCACTCGTTTGCAGGCATTATGAGTCATGCAAATGCATAGAGACTCCAGGAACTTCAAGGAGACTTGGGATGTCTGAACATCACATTTAACAACTATAGTGAAACACGATCCTGCAGTACATTATTGATTAACTGTCCGACATGCACTGCTCTTTGGAGCTCAGAGGAGCGCATAACAGTGTGTGGCTGTGTCTGTGTGGGTGTGTGGTCACTTGATGAGCATTTTCAGCAGACGGAGGGCTGTTTAGAAAGGCTAGGTAAAACACAGTGTGGATGGGTATCATTTACGTTCTAAAATGGCATTTTAACACTAAGACGTAAACAGGGCCAAAGTGTGTATTTTTCGCGAGCGGGTTTGCGACGTGGGCGGGGCGGAGGATCGGCGATGCCGGCTCAGCATTATGTTGTCTATTGGCGACGGATGATGGCATCGTCTTTCGGCCCAACCCTAACATGATGTTTAACCAATGACTAACAGCAGAAGAGTAATTACCTTTGTCATAAAATGTGAAAGGCCCAATGAGTTTGAGCTTGCAGCTAGTTGTGTTGTCATCATTTTGAACAAAGTATTCTGATGGTTTTTGGAAATAATTTGCGTTGAAATATTCCAAGATCACTGACCTGTGTGTCTGACCTGTTGGAAAAGGAATGAAAAAAATAAGTTTTATTTGTGTCATTCTGAAAATCATGTTTTGCATCTAAAACGTACTAAAGAAATTATATGTCAGAAATACAAATAAAAACAGGGTAACAGCATGAAACATATTCATGATAATGCGGTGGAACTATTTATGAAAATACATAAGAATAAATAAACTAAATGTAAAACTAAAATTTTTATAAGTTTTTGATGGAAAAATGCTTTGTGTCCTGATGTGTAGTAAAAAAGCAATAATCTGTGATATTATAATCAGTGGAGTTATCCTTTGTTGCACAAACCTGAAATGGCTTAATTTTCAGGCAAAATCCTTGGTTCATTGTATGTATTTAAAAGTAATAAATAAAGCTTTTATACTTATAAAACATTTCATGAGCATATTTATAAATCTTGAATATCTGCCTAACATCTCATGAGGCAATGATGAAACCTTTAATAAGGCAAATAGTAAATTTGAGTCATTTTTGAGAAACATCAATTATACTAATTTTAGATGTTTTACTGAGATTACTGTCCATTAAAAGGTTAAAATGTAACATTTATTGCACAAACCTTCATAAAAAATATTATTTAAAAATATATTACTATGCAGGATTCAACACTAAGGTTTTTTTTTTTCTGGTTCAGAATTTTACTTGCCCTGCCAAAATTTTCACTGTCCCCACTAAAAGAAAAAGAAGTTAAAGTCCCCAAGAAATCAAAACTACACTATGATTTTGTTAGCTTCCATTTCTAGTTTTGTGGTGAACAATTCATCTGTGCATGTCATTAATGAAAAAAAATTGTTTGCCTATCTACTCTTTAATTGAAATCTGAAAATGCACTTCCTGTTTGTTTTTAGTTAATTCATCCGTTTATGTGATTGAGGTAATAGGCATGTCTATCGCTGCTCAAACTGTCAGTTTTAACAAGAAACAGAAATGATGAGCAGCATGAGTCTGTTAGGTTGTAATAACTCTTCTAAAACCCCTTTCCTGATCTTTCTGAATGAAATGCCTACTTTACTGTCCATTAAGCACGGTAGAAAAAAACATTACAAAAAAATAACGATCGTACCTTCCAATTCACAGTAACTTTAATGACTATTTCTTAGCCAAAAATTTAAATAATGTGTCAAAAATAACATCTGTGAATCTAGAATTTAAATATTTAAAAAATGTTACTAAAGGTATAATGAGGAAAATTCAAAGTGTTTTGCAAACAGAAAGAGCAGTATGGACAATGCCAAACTGACAGCAAACATCACTTCACTTTTTTCGTTGTGTAACCAAGTAAATGTCTGCTTTCAAGATGTTAGAAACAGACGATTTCTTTTAGCTTCATAATTTGATCTTGCCACCATGTTCCCATCTCTTTGCTGTACTGGTTGTTATCAGGTCACAGCAAAAAAAAAGTGCTCAAAATATCCAATTAGATAAGAGGAATTGAAAAGCAATATGGTGTTTATGACATCACAGATAAGGTAGCATTTAAAGGCTTAAAGGCACAAACTGTTTCTCGATTATAAGACTGTATTTGCACCAATTGGGAAAAAGTTGCAGACAAATTCAACTTTAGTGACAAAGCAGCACTTGCCCGATTGGGCCAGTAACGATCCTGTCTACTGTCCAGATCATCTCTCACACTGGTCCTGGGCCCTCGGGCAGTCCTTATTGTTGAGCCCTGCTATTTCAATACTTAATACTTCTGTGAACCACTTTAGATGCAAACATACATTGTCTTTACAATATATCTTAATCTAAAGTAAATGTTTAATTGGTAACACTTTACAATAAGGTTGTATTAGTTAATGTTATTTAATGCATTTGCTAACATGAACAAACAATGAATAATTCATTCATTAGAGTATTTGTTAACGTTCGTAAATGAAAATACTGTTGTTCATTGTTAGATTACTCTTGGTGCATTACATAATGTTAACAAGCATGAATCTGGATTTTACAAGAAATCATTAAATGCTGAACTAAGATTAATAAACGCTGCACACGTATTGTTCATACTTAGTTCAGTTTAGTAAATACATTAACTAATGAAACCGTAATGTAAAGCGTGACCGATTAATTTACCTTGTACTGGAGCGCTGAGGTGAAAACTTTCCCATAAAATCTTATAAACTGCTTCACTTGCTTCCTCTGCTGAAGGGCATCTTTCTGACTCAACTTCTAAATTGAGATCCACGGTTACTTTGCCAAAGTAAATTCCTGAAATTTCAAAATGACATACTGATCATAGTTTCATTTCAAGCAAGAATGTGCATCATTATTCAATGTGCATTAAATAGTCAACAAAATTCCTGCTTTACCTGAGGAAGATGAGCAGGACGTCTCAGGCTGCATAACAGAACTGGATGGTTCATTCGTGCTTTCTTCCTGTGATTTCATCTGTTCAAGGGCAATGCATGCTACCTCCTGATGGGCACCCTTTTTGTCATTAAAAACTCTTATGCCAGTAAAACTTTGCCCATTCACTGTCACCTTACCCCTATAACCTGTACAGAAGATGTGAACTGTTGAATCTAACCTGAATTAATGATTATAAATAATTTAATTCATGTTTATTTGTTTCCATATGCATGTTGAATGTTAAATGGTGCACTTGATACCCTGGGCTTCTTGAGTCTCTGTAAAAACAGGCTCGAGCCATTTCTTTGCACGACAAAACTCAAAAAGATGATTCTTATATCTAGGTGGGATGCCAGGAAGCAATGGATCTGTGGATGAAAGAGCAATGAAATTAAATGGAATTAATATTGCAGTACACTCGCATATAAACATTTAAACTCAAAATGAATCAAAATGAGTAAAACTTATCCATGACAAATACCTGTGTAATACTTAATAATACTGAATGCCACTTACAGTGACAGTTGCATGCTGTAAGATTTCTTTAAAATTTTGTATTTTGTGTTCAACAAAAGAAAAAAGCTCATGAAGATTTGGAACCACTTTAGGGAAAAAAATAGCGAATACATTTTCTTTTTTGTGAACCAAACCTTTGTGTATCTGTGAAGGACAATTTTGGAGCTTTTTACGCTTTACACATTTTCAGATCTTTAAACTTTACAGTCTATCCTTACTTCATTTTAAACCCCAGGTAAAATAAAGTTTCACATTAACGTAACTTAGAAGAATCCTTTTTTTATAAGTTAAGGATAGAATGGTTCTAACTGAGGCTATTATCAATATAGCATAATTTTGCTATTTATGAATTAATGTACACAATAAATAAAATGTACACAATAAAAGGTACACAAGCTGTCATTGGTCAAATGCTTAAACCTAAAGGCTAATCCAAAAACCAAGGCGCACCTCAACTGCCTTTTTTGTTTACAAGGAAAAATGAAGTGTGGTGCGCTTGTTTTATGTCTTTAGGCAACGACTGAATCAGCTGGGTATTGTGCGAGAGTGTTGCTGTATTAATTCAATTTTAATACTTAATAATATTGTGATTTTCCCAGAGATGGGTTGCGGCTGGAAGGGCATCCGCTGCGTAAAAACTTGCTGGATAAGTTGGCGGTTCTTTCCTCTGTGGCGACCCCGGATTAATAAAGGGACTAAGCTGACAAGAAAATGAATGAATGAATAATATTGTGATATTCAAGATTTGTCATACAGCTCTGGATAACTCAAAACATCAACCACAAGTCTCTCCTCCATCTTCAAAAGTCTCTGTTGTTGTCTTAACAACACAAACACTGCTGGCACATCGGAACCCCTGGCTCTGCTTTCATTTGATTGGAGAATGAAAAAGACACGAGTGACATAACATGCTTTATCTGCTCAAAGTTGAACTTTTTTCAACTGCGAGTGCACAGCGTGCAAGGGCAAAAACGAGCGGCGCAGAAGGCGGTTAAAATCTGATGCGCACAGAAAATGTTCGCGGTCGATAGTAAATCATTTTATAAAAAGGCATCTCTCAAAGCAAAAAAACGTGTTCGGTGTGATCGGCCCCTAAGGGCTTTTTTAAATGATTTACAAACGACTACAAGCATTTTGAATTTTTGAACGGAGACTTTTGAAGATGAATGAGAGACTTGGTTGCTGTTTTGAGTTATCCAGTGCTTAACACTTCACAAATCTTGAATATCACAATATTATTAAACATTAAAATTATATTAATAAGCACAGCAATACTCTCTGACAATACGCAGCTGATTCAGTTGTTGCCTAGCAACAAGAAATCTTGTCAACAAAAAAGGCAGTGAGGTGCGCCTCGCATTTTTGGAATGTAAATGCATGTTCGGCCCCTTATACTTCTGCATCGAGTCATCAGCATGACCCACGGCGCCTGCCTTGCGTGTAGGTCGTGCATTTATACTTCTGCACTGTTTAGTCACCTTTACACTGCACACGACATTCGAACATGACTGTCGGAATACGCTCCCGAGTGGCAGTCGCACAGAATTTTCAGTTTTGTCGTGCACCATGGGAGAGAAGCTAGATTCTCGCAGTGTCCGAAATAAGGGAGTGCAAAAGCAAGTGAATAACTCTGTTCACCATCGTTGAATGAATGAATGAATGAATGAATAATAGAAATTCATGGACCGATTTAACTTTTGGAGGGAATGTGGACATAAGATTAAAAAAAAATTTTGTATTACTTATGTATAGATAAAAACTTTTTTATAATATAAACTTTTTTCTGATATAAAAAAAAAAACTATTTTTCATCTTCCACATGAATCTCCCTAGACAACACTGGAATACATCACATCTGGTCAACCAGTCCCATGTCGCAGAAGTTCAAATATTTTAACGAGTCCACAGCTCAAATCAGATCAGAATTTTCCGCATAAGGAGATAATCGGAACTCCACGCATCTCCCGGACACTCTCCATTGGAAATAAATGAATTACAGACTGTTGCTTGTTGTGTACAGTGGAAAGGCGGCTTTTGTGTTGCTCTGCAATAACACTTTTGAATTAGTAGCTGGCAGTAAGTTTTTAGTTCCTCTGTGTCAAGTTTCTTTGCGGTAGTTTTGTTTAATCTGAACTCTAATGCTGTGTTCACACCAGACGTGGAATGCGCAGGTAAATCACGCTATTCATGCGTAAAAAGCTGCGTGAACACTTGAGTTTACTCGCTTCATTCGCGCGTCAAACCCTGCTTCTTTCGCGCATCATATTTACTTCAGAACAGACACGGACTCATGTGATGGGCAGGGCTTCTGTCTGCCCGGTGACTCTAGCTTCTTTGCTAAATGGCTAACAAGGATTTTATTAAGAAAATATCTGAGTTTATGTGCTTTATGAAGGCTGAAAAACAGCGTCGATACGTGTAGGGCTGTGTCTGAGTCCACTAGATCCTTTCAGAGGTGCACCAGCTCTGTGAGCTCATAAACTCCTCTAGAAACTTAACCTGGATGATGAAGGCTTTCAGCGGTGCTTCTGACCGAGTCAAGCACAGTTTAATGAACTGTTGTCAGTGTCAGCTGAAGGATTTCCCCCGGGACACCAACAACAGGCGCTACATCACAATCACGCCCCCACAAAAGCAAGCAAATATCGCGCCATTCGCACAACGCCATTCGTGCAATTTGCGTCATTCGTGCCACGCCATTTATGCTTATCGCACCTCAGGATGTCTATTCTCAAGTTTGCATTCATTTAACATGTATATCACTCGCGCTTGACGCTTCTTCTGCATCGGGTGTGAACACAGCATTAGAAAGTAGCTAAAACTCGCTGATTCAGAGGCAGGGACAGGCGGACGTGCAACAACTTTAATCATAAGGTAAACACAAAACAAATTTTTCTTTGTTTGTTTTATATTGGTTTATTTCTTTAATGCGATTTTACTATATCCAAAATTTGCAATTCTTTTAATTATTTCAATATGGCTTAGGCTATTTTATCAAGATATGACACTATTGTTTTGAGCCTACAAAAGTGAGCATGTAATTTGTAAAGTTTTATGTCGTTCTGTTGTATTAATATTGTGTATTATCTCAAAAAAAAAAAAAAAAAAGCCGCTCGCAGCATCAAGAGAGCTGTGAAGGGAGCGCTCTTTTGCTCGGTCTCACACACACACACACACACACACACACACACACACACACACACACAAGCATCTAAACCCACAAAAACATACCTTTTAAACTTTACAAAAAATCTCAAAAACCTTTACTCTCTGCTGTGTCTTTAATATGGTGTAAAGATTATTATGAGTTATTAAAACATCAAGGAGGATGCAGCAAAGAATGTCACTTATAAACTAAAACTTTATTATTTTATGCAACAGCTTTACGTTTAAAAGGGAAACATAAGGGTGATCATAAGCAAAAAGACCCCAGCCTATAAGGCTAGATGTTTTCTTTCCATTATTTGTTTGCCGCATGTACTCGTGACGTGTGCAATCAGAAAGTTAGTGTCCGCCTCTCCTTTTACTCCACCCGAAGCCCCAGCTGGCCCTTTTTGGCCCAAGGTATTTGGCGGGCCGAAAAAGGCTGGACACTGGCCCCCGAAAAAAGCCTCGCTTTGGCCCGATCAGGCCCCGGAAGTGACAGTGGAAACGCAACTTGCCTTGGCTTGTGTTCTTTTATTTATTTTGTGTTCAACAGAAGAAATAAACTCATAAAGGATTATAACCACTTGAGAACAAGTTACCTTGTTTCTCTTTTTCCAGTTGATCCATTCTGACTTTAAGGGTGCTGACCTCTTCGTCGAGTTCATCTACTTTTGTTTGTATCTCTTTAAGTTTGTTGACCTCAGGACCCAGATTCTCCAGGAGATCTTTGTTTTGGTCCAGAAAGTCCATGATATGCTTAAAGTCCTGTAGTTTGCCCTAAACACATAAAACATAGTTGTAAAACAAACAGGATACAGTTCAAGTGTTTAAAAGTTAATTGTAGACATTTTATTTTGCTACTTTACATTGACATTTTCTTCTTGGTTCCCCTCAAAGGATGAAATAATGTCTTTAATCTTGTCTTTCAAGGCTTGGTTCTCACGGTCCAGAAGTTCCCGGGTATGGACGTTTATCTGCTGGCCATCTACTTCACATAGGGGTTTATTGAAATTCTGGTCCAAGGTGTTATTATACTATGAGAGAGAGAGAGAGAGAGAGAGAGAGAGAGAGAGAGAGAGAGAGAGAGAGAGAGAGAGGGAGGGAGGGAGGGAGAGAGAGAGAAAAAGAAAGAAAGAAAGAAAGAAAGAAAGAAAGAAAGAAAGAAAGAAAGAAAGAAAGAAAGAAAGAAAGAAAGAAAATAAGAAAGAAAGAAAGAAAAAAAGAAAGAAAAATAACTTATTTAAATTATGAATCCTTAAATTATACTGATAACGTGCAACATTAATTCCTAATGCCTTTAATTATTATTATGATTATCATTATTTATAATAATAATAATAATAATAATAATAAGCAATACTATTATAATTTTAATAACTACTACTATTAATAATATTCATCATCATTATCATCACCATTTGTGGTTACACATTATTTGTTTTTCTCAGTTGCTTTGGTGCATTTCTTACAACACTATTTACATTTGCACAACAGTTAATGCATTTCTCAAAACAATTAGTCATTTGTGCACATCATAGTAGCAGTTTCTCATTTCTTCCAACAAATTATCAATTGCCTTCATACAACTCTCTGTTGTTTTATAACATTATCATTTGCTTTTGTCATGTCAGTCAAAATTAACTAAACTTGTGAATGCTAAATAGTCATTCCATATAAAACTAATAGTCCTTATTTCATTACTTGAGTCATTACATACACAAATGTTGAACTAATTATCAAAATCTGTCTAGCAAATTTGACAAAAAAATATATATATCTTTAATTGAACAATTTCATGAATGATTTACAGCAATATTCCTTCAGTTATGCACAGCTCTACCCAAAGGAAGTTTATGTTTGTTGTAAATAAGGGTTAATGTTTTCTTTTGCACAATGCTGTGAATAAATTAGAATTGCAAAGAGCAAATGCAATAAAAATGTGAAACATACATATTCAGTGTCTTGTTCCAAGATACCTCACTAAATGCAGTGATGTCTAACTTTAATGTAGTATTCAAATAATATACAGTGCTGTCTTGAGCATTTTTAGGAAATGTCAACAAAATCTGACATTTTTGCATTGAAAAAAATGTACAGAGTAAACTGTCATAATGAAAACATTACAAAACCATTTGGCTATCTTGTTCATAAACAATGGTGGCAGGACTTTTCATCTTGATGACACTGACACTTTCATTGACATGAATACTTGCTTTTGAGAAATGAGCTATCCATTTTGAGCAAGTGACACGCTTTTGCAGGTTATTAACCAGGTTTTGCAGTTTGCATAAATTTTTTTGAGAAATGCATTAACTGTTGTGCAAATGTAACTAGTGCTGAGAGAAATGCACCAAAGCCACTGAGAAAAACTGTAATAAAAACTTTAGGGTTAGGGTTTTGTTGGTTAGAATTAGTGTAAATTTAATGTAATTTTGCATAATTTACTAACTGTAAGAATGTGTATCATAGACATTGTAAAATAGAACATTACCAAGTATATTATTATTATTACTATTAATTTTTCATCTACCTGTTTTATCTCCTCCTCCAAGCCATTCAGTTCTGGAACCTGAGGTTGAAGCATGTTGGCCAGCAGTAGAATTGTGCTATGATGCTTTTTCATGTCCTCGTTGCTCATTTTTAAGTCAGGGGAGTGCATCACATTGTTCCGTACATTTATTACCTTAATAATTAAAAAGAAATGATGTAAGTCTAAAATGTGTCATCTGCTGGTGCTGAATTATGTATTATTGAAAACTAGATTTCCAAAAAATACATATTTGCATTTCAAGTTACATATGTGGCGCAATATGTGCTTACATTCCTCACATGATGCCCTTGAATTTTACTGAAATGTTTACAGAAGTTCATGAAGTTCAGAATGGCAGCAACATCAAAGTGGGAAAACTCACAATGGTCTCTGTGCCCACGTGGCATGTACGCCTGTTACAAAAAACATAAGACAAACAATTAAGATAAAAATGTAATTGACCAATATTTTTTGCACTGCCACGATTTGTCTAAATATAGCCATGCCCATACGCAACAGACAACAATCAAAGGCAGCACTATAATATTAGGCTTATGTAATATTCCTGAAAATTACTTACCTTGGCAACTTCCCACTTATCTGTGGACCAACGATTTGGTTTGCAGTTGTTCCAGTGTATACCATATTTCCCATTGTGATTGGCCACAATTTCTTTCCTCCAGCATTCACACAACTGACAGAGAGACTATGGATAACAAAATAAGCACATTTTCCAACATCACAATCTCTATAATTAGTATTGCCGTTGACTTTTCCACAGACAAGACAGACAGACAGCCAGACAAACAAACAGAGATAGATAGATAGACAGACAGACAGACAGACAGAGAAACAGCGATATCCTTTTTTAAAAACACAGATACGGTTAAACTTGGAGGCTACGTTAACGTTAATTCAATTGTTTACACTTCACCTTCTGATTGATGTCCTTATCATTGCAGTTTTGATGGCAAGTCTTTCCATTGAGCTCCTGTTTATTTCTGAGAGAGCTGTGGTAAGTTTCGGTTTCCTTTTCAATGAAGTTCTGAATGCGATTCCTCAGTATGTAAAGACTTTCGGCTGTCTTCAACCAGTTTTTGTAGTTTTCGTCACTAAATCGTGTGCTGGATTGCGTGCTGCTCATGATCGCTGATTAAAATTAAAAATATACAACAAAGTCTTTGGTAGTCTACGAGAGCTGCGGTATGCTATGTGTGCTGTCTTTTCGCAGTGATCCACAGGTCAGCTGACGCTTTAGGTTGCCAGATAATTAAAACTTCAGCGCTGTACGTTACTGAGTAAAAAAAAAACAAAGATGCACCTGTTGTTTATATGCGTCAAAAAAGAACGAACGAAATAAAATTAATACCATGGTAACCGTTTTAAGTATCAGAGGTGTTTAGAAACCTCATGTAATTAGGCATTCAGAAACAAGCTTATAAAGCTTATTTAAATAAGTATTAGTAGTAGACATTAAAGGTCTTAGGCTACTGAATGTTGTAAAAGTTAGGATAATATTTATCACTTTTATTTTACTGTTAAAAGTTAAACAGTTTTTTGGGCCCAAGAAACTATGTCAAATGCAGCAGAAAAGATGTAACAAGATTTTACATTGCATTTTATATAGCTATATGTGTCATTCATTCTTTTTCCTTCAGCTTAGTCCCTGATTACCAGGGGTCGAAGGTCACAGCAGAATGAACCGCCAAATATTCCGGCATATGTTTTATGCTGCGGATGCCCTTTCAGCCATAATCAAGTACAAAACATCCATACACTCTCACGTCACACTACACTGCAGATATTTTATCCATCCAAGCAAATGGAGGAAACCCGCTCAAACATGGAGAACATGCAAACTTCACACAGAAACCCGCTTTTCATTTTTTTCAGCACGTCCCTTGTCACTGCTCGGTCCTGTCTAGCTTTACTCTCATTGGTGCCCTTATATTTCCTTTGCCTTTCATACCCTCTCTTGTCAGTTTATTGTTGCTATGTGCGTTACCCCACACTTTTAAAAAAAAATCTGTAAAATTTACGGAAAAATACTGGCAGCTTTAGTTGCCAGAACTTTTTTGTAAAAAAATAGTGAATTTTTCTGTAAAATAGATTTTACAGAAAAATGTATTTTTAACAAAAGAAAAATTTATTCATTAACTGATGCAATGATAATTTAAACAACTTTGAGTTAATTATTTATATTTGCAGAAAGCAATTACATTTTAATTGACATTTACTGGCATTAAAATCAATATTTTAAATGTCTAAGTAATATATCTGTTCAAATCCATATTAGGAACCATTGTACATTAGTTCACTACAAAAACTTTTTAAATAATGTATAGTCATTAAATGCATTATTGTGTTCATGTGTGACTGTAATTAACAAACAGATTTCACAGCACTAGGAACTACACAGTTACATTCAAACAAAAGAAGATGCAGCAAAACATCAGATTATCTTAGTTTATCTTGGACTTGTACACAGATGCTACTATCCTCCACAATGGTGATACAAACATGTTTTACAGTATTTTGCTGTTATTTTTCTTGATTTTACAAAAAAATACTGGCAGCTGTGGTTGCCAGTAATCCACTGTTTTTAACATTTTACATTCGTAAATTCAATCTACAGAATATTATTCATTCATTCATTTTCTTGTCGGCTTAGTCCCTTTATTAATCCGGGGTCACCGAATGAACCGCCAACTTATTCAGCACATTTTTACGCAGTGGATGCCGTTCCAGCCGCAACCCATCTCTGGGAAAAATCTACAGAATATTTCTGTTAAAAACACATTCTGTCTGTATTTTTCATCAAACACATTTAACCCCTTAAATCCCAGAGCAATATCCTCACTAGTGTCCTCACTACAGAGGTTTGAACACTTAGGCAGTGATGAAGTTGATGAGATAATTAAGTTTAAGTTTATAATTTAAGTTTCTAATTAAAGGTGGATTGAGATTTATTGATGAACAACTGTTAACAAGTAGAATCACTGAAGGAAAAACACAAATTACCTCCAAAACCAAAGATGAAATCAACTGCGAATAAAACTCTAAATAAAATATCAATTAATAAAAATAAAAATAATTACACAATAAAACTATTTTTCAAGATCTCATTAAACAACTCCACAAACATCAGGAGCTTAATTTATCACTGACCTTTGACTTTATTTCTTTCACGTGAACAGTGCTGTCGCCTCACAACAAGTAGGTCGCTGGTTCGAAGCTCGGCTCAGTTGGTGTATCTGTGTGGAGTTTGCATGTTCTCCCTGCGTTCACGTGGGTTTCCTCTGGGTGCTCCAGTTTCCCCCACAGTCCAAAGACATGCGGTACAGGTGAATTGCAGACAGAGTCTGCTTTAGTCGGGATCTTTAACTTCTTGTTTTAAAATAAGTTTTATTTTGGCTGCTTTATAATTATTTGCATTAATGGCACAATTTGTATGACATGAAAAGCCAAAATAAAATATAAAATTAAGACTGATGAGATTAACTATGCTATCAAAGCCACCCTTGCCTCCTTGTGTTCTTGTTGAACATCAGTTTGGTGTAAAATTGAATAATATCTGTAAATGAAACCACTGGAGCTTTAGCAATGACAGTTTAACCATTTTAATTAATTTGAACTATTGCAGAATTTGAAAACACACAGACATCAACAATTAGTCTTTGAATCTCAATAATCGTGACAAACAATTAAAAAAATCAAATAAAAAACAACCAGAACAATACAAAACATTCTACTGAAATATTACAATCCAAAAACAAAACAAAAAAAAATAAAGGCAAAGAAAGAAATGTTAAGAACATAAAGCTGCATAATTTATTCATGCTACAATGCATGCTGGGAGTTTTATACTATGCTGGTAACCATCATAGAAAAAAGAAATGAATAATGCAGCTTTTTTTTAAGCAACCATGGTTGAGGTTCAAATCTTGATTCTTGATGTCTGTGTGTCTTAAATGAGTTGGAAAAAGCATTTTATTCAGTAGTAAAAACATACTGTCCATTCCCTTCCATCATAAACCTGTTCATTCATTCATTCATTTTCTTGTCGGCTTAGTCACTTTATTAATCCGGGGTCGCCACAGCGGAATGAACCGACCAACTTATCCAGCCGCAACCCATCTCTAAGAAACATAAACCTGTTCTTTAAAGAAAATCCAATGTGCTTGGTATCAGAAGCATCACTTAAAGGGAACCAGTTATGCCCATTTTTGCAAAATGTAAAATAACTCTCAGATGTCCCTAGAGTGTGTTAAAAAGTCACAACTAAAATAGAAGCCCAACATTAAACATTAAATACATGTTCATATAAAAAATACAGTAAAAAAAAGTAAAAAAAAATAAAATAAAAAAACAGTAGAGGCAGTAGAGGACAAAAAGCCAAAGACAACAGTACAAATGTGTCAAGAATACAGTACTAATGCTGACAATGCTGATTTACCAATAACCAATTTTTAACATGGGACTGAAAATAACTAAAAGTGCATGATCTTCTAATTGTTGGTGGGATGGAGTTCCATTCCCTAGCAGCTTTCACTGAAAATACAGATTGACTGAATTTACTTTTTTTTTGAGAGGAATAATGCAGTCCCCTCTGTCACCTCCTCTAGTAGTTCGGTGAGCAGTCATTCTAATATTTACAAACTGATTTAATGGTGAAGTCGGTTTATGTAAAGTCTTACACATTAAACAGATATGTACATATTTAATTAAACTTTCCCAACTAAGCAGGTTGTATTTCTTTAATATTAAACAATGGTGATATTGAACTGATTTCTTATCAAGGGTTTTATGGATCGTTTGTATAAAGGTTCAAGTGGCTTCAGAGTAGTGATGCTGGCTTGGGACCAAGTGGTTAAACAATAAGTGATGTGAGAGATGATCATGGAGTGATAATAGATTAGGGCAACCTCACATGACATCTGATCACGAATAAATCTAAAATTTGCTAAACTAAATCTGACCCGGTTACAAACATTTTTAACCTGAGACTAAAATGATAGTTTTGAATCTATTAAAACTCCAAGGTACTTGTACTCCGATACAACTTGTAATCTTTCCCCTGATATAAATACATCTGGTACTACACTTACCCTACCATTCTTAGAAAAGAACATACACACGGTTTTAGAGATGTTCAACTGTAAACAGCATTGATCTTACCAGGCTGAAAGATGTACCAGTGATTCTGTGAGTTTGTTTGCAACTTGTAACACACTACTACCATAAATAAATATAACAGTGTCATCCGCATTCATTTGTATGTTATTGTTAGGACACATAGATGGAAGATCATTGATATATAAAGTAAAAAGTAAAGGGCCCAAAATAGATCCTTGTGGAACACCTGTGGATATACCTGGAGGGGCAGATTTGTAATTCTGTGTATTAACACACTGTGTGCGACCAGACAAGATTCTATCCATTTTAAAGTTTGTGGTGAGAAGTTAAAACCAACTAATTTGGACGTGAGAATTCTATGATTTACAGTATCAAAAGCCTTCCTAAAATCAAGAAACACAGCCCCAACGATACCCCCCTTATCTAATAAAGACTTTACTTGTTCAGTAAAGTAGCAATTTGCCAGCTCACTTGAGTAGTTTGCTCTGAAGCCAAACTGCAATGAATGTAAAGCAAAAGAACTATTATTTAAGTAATTTGTAATTTGTGTGGCTATCAGTTTTTCTGCAATCTTTGAAACTATAGGTAAAATACTGATAGGTCTGTAATTACTAGTAGAGTGTGGATTGCCACTTTTAAATATAGGCACAATGACAGATGATTTCCAAGCAGGAACATCCCCTGAGAAATGGACAGATTAATAATTTTGGTGATCTGCTTAGACTCTACTAGAGACTCACTAATGTTTTTTAAAAGTATCACATCCATCCCAAATATATCCTTTGCTCGGGATGATTTAGGAGATATAATTGCTCTGTTGATGTCTGATTCGGAAACTAACCCTAGAGAAAAAGCTTGTTCTACTGTGTTTACTTGATGAACTTCTAAATAATTGGGAGAAAAACACTGTGTGATTGAAACTACAGAGTCCACAAAATAATTATTAAATACTTCAGCTATATCAGCTGGCTTATTGATCATTTCCCCATTTACCATTAACTCAATTGATGACCTATCTTTTCTTTTATCTCCTTTTAAGTAGTTCAGTTGGTTCCATATTAATTTTGAATTACCTCTTGCTTCTTCAATTATTCTCAGGAACATATCTGCCTTTGCTTTTCTCATACACTTTTCCACCTTGTTTCGTAAC